AAGCTACCTCAATCTTGAGAAAAACATCCTGCGTGACCATTATGGGCTATTAGTTGCTAGTGGTCCTTTCACCAACCAGGCATACGGGCCACCACCTGACCCAGCTCTTGTCTTATCTATCTTTTCCTTGTTCCTGCTGCCATTTCTCCCCAGGGTACAACGGATAACACCTAAAGACCAGTGAATCCCTACATCTGTGTTCATCTCATTTGAATGGGGTCATCTGCCTACCTTGAAATGAGCCTTGAGAGGCCATTATGGCCATTGTGTGGGAGGGTTCATCCCTATTGGTCCCCAAAGTCACCAAGGGGTCATTCCTTGTAGGAGGCTACAGGTCACAGAGCAGCAGACAGGCAGGCAAGAGGAGTGGACCTGAGAGCAAGGGCCACACAAGTGAACATCAGTGGGTACTGTGATGGGACATGCAGACCTGGGATGTAGAGAATAGATAGACATTCAGTGGACAAGGGGAGAAAGTGGAAAAAAAGTGCAGCTAGTATAGAAAGTGGAGCACTCCAGAGCATGGTGCGAAGGTGGCAGCCAGGACAACACAATTTTAACACTGACAGGGTCCTTCCTCACTAGATCAGGATGAACTTCACCAAGACATCTGAAGGTTGGGCTAAGAGCTCTGTGTGTTCTCCACCGAGAGACACAACGTCCTTCAAGGGGAACGTGGTGAATTCACTTTGCTTCAGATGGTCTAACTGCTTCTAGAAGGAAAGGCTTCCCTTTATTCCTCTCTAATATGCTTAGCTTTATGCCAGGTACAAAGGACACTTGTTGAATCCTATTCAAAGATGAGAGTGCACAGGATTTAAAAAATAATGCTCTCCCACAACCGTAGCCTGTCTTTATTGGTGGTGGTGGTGGGACACTACATGTCTTCCTAGTGGTCACAACAAAACAAAAGTTTACACAGAAAGACAAAATAATCTGAAAGGCCCTCAAGTCCCACACATTGGTGGTCTGTCTTGGGTGGTATGGGGCAATCTCCCTGTGCAGCTGACATGGAGGCTGGGTGCTGAGGCTCTCATGGGGTCTTGAGGTGGAGAGCTTTGTGATTTTGCTGCTGCTGCAGTAGTTTGGTGTTAGTGGAATGCGCCAGAGCCTGGTGGGCAGCAGCGTGGCCCAGAGCCTCTTCTCTCTTGGGAGTTCTGCTATGGGCTCACCTTGCTGTTCCTCTTGCTGTGCTCCTTCAGTTTCACTTCTAAAACTCCAAATTTGCAAGTATGTGCCCCTACACTCCTGACAAATCTTATTTCCTCTCAATCCCTCATCTGGTATCTGTAGCCCAGGGATACTGCCAGGCCTGCCACTGGCTCCTTCCTTTCACCCTGTGCTGTGGTTCCCCTACTTGCTACTGGTGGGCCCTGGGACTCCTGGGCATTATGACAGGTACATTTCCTGGAGAAGCCCAGATTCCTAACCAGTTCAGAAGTTTGAATGCTTTGAGCCTGGGTTTGCTAATAGGAAAGAATGGAAAGAAGGAAGAAAGGCAGGCAAGCAGCAAGGAAAGCAGGCAGGCAGAAAGGGAGTCAGGAAGGAGGGAAGGAAGACAGGAGCATAGGCAGAAAAGAAGAAAGGCGGAAAGACAGGCAGGAAAACAGGCAGGCAGGCAAGAAGAAAAGCAGGAATGAATGAGTGAAGGGAGGCAGGAAAGAAAAAAGGTAGAAAGAGGGGGAAGCCAGAAGGAAGGCAGGCAGGCAGGCAGGGCGGAAAGCAGGGAAGAAGGAAAACAAGAAGAAAGGAAGGCAGGCAGGAAGGAAAGGTGGCATGGAGGAGAGAGGGTGATGAGGACACTGACTTTCTAGCTGCCCAGAGCACTTGCTGATTTAGAGAGATGGGGCTCTAGCATGAACAGTGAAAGATGTTCCTCCCATTTTCCTGTTGTACCCAGACAGGAAGCTCCGTGGTCTGAGAGGGGCTCTGGGTGGGAAGAGCTGGTCTGCAGCTCTAGGGGCCCAGCTCCACTCAGCTCTGCTGACCTGAGGTCTTCACAGAAGAAAAGGAAGCAGTGTTAGTCCCACTATACTTCCCACAAAAGTCAGTTGGACTAATGGACAAAAACATTTGCAATCCTTGAAGTTTTGACGCACAGTCACCTCACTTTGCACAAGATTTTACTTCTGCATCCTGGCTCCTGATCCTTGCTTAGCCTGGGCATGATGATGGTTCTCCCTAAGAGATGACTCCCTTGCCCACACTCGCTGTCCAGCTGTGGGACCCAGGCAGCTCCTGGTTAGCTTGGGCTGCACCTGCCAGACTCCTGGCCTCCAGACAGTGGCTCGCTGTAGGGCATGCTGCTGAGATTCCTTTGCCAGGCAGCTCTGAGTTACCCTCTGGCTGCCCTGCCAGGGCTGACCTGGGTGCTCCATGTCCTGCTGGTGGCTCTCCACAGTAGCCCTGACCCAGACTCTCGGCTTGCAACGGCTCTCTGTGGAGCCTCCCCAACACTAACCTAACCACTCTTTGTGGATGACTAAAGTCATCCTGCTGTCACTGTCAAGCCCCCTGGGCTGCCACATACTTGCTCAGTCTCCTCATGGAGAAAGGGGTCTCTTAGGTGGGGCTCAGTGGTCCCCCGAATGCTTTACAGTGCTTCACCAGGTTGCTGTTTGGGGGATAAAACAATACTATTTGTTGTCCAGCAACAGGAACACTGAAGAGCTTAGTCCAGGCCTTAGCTCTTTTGACCTGTATCCAGTATTTTCTTTCTAGAAACAGATAATTCCTGCTCACACTTATCATATTATTATTATTATTATTATTATTATTATTATTTTATGTATTTAGTACAGGGTCTACAGGGTCTCACTACACAGATGGGACTCATAGTGATCCTCCTGTTTTCAGCCTCCCAAGTGCTGGGATTACAGGCACACACCACCATGCCCAGTCTCAATTGCCTTCTCTGTGTGTCCTGGGGGCGGGCCTGCACTGCACACTGGGGATGAACCCGGTCATTGCGTCAGCCTAAGCAGGTGCTTTAATCCCACTTACCGTCTTGAATACAGGAATAATAGCAATCTCTGCCTAGCCCATTCAACAAAGTCAGGGTAACCTACCTGTCAAAATCAGCTGAAAACCAGAACAATACAGACAAAACTCAGTTTTAGACGGATGATGCTTGACGGCCGAGGGTCAGCGACATCATGCTCAGAGAGCACTGCCCCACCCTGTAATGCGCCTGGGGTCCCCGGTTGGCGTTGGCCCCGCCTGGGGCGCGGCTGCCTACTTTTCAGCTCCCCACCCTCCCGGAGCCATCACCCAGGAAGCGCTGCAGAGGTCCTGGCCATTCCTGCGGAAGTCTCCACCCTCAGCCCTTTTTGGGAAGGCCCGGACCTTCTGCAAAGTGCAGGCTTGACTGTGGGGACAGAGACAGGTGCGCGGTCTCAGGCTTGGCCTCTTCACAGCGCAGCACTACTCTCCACAAACATTGCTGCCGGCCACTCAACCCTGTGACAGGGGACCCCGGTGCCCCAATAGCAGCAAGGCGACGTGGTGCCAGCGCCGGGCTTAGGGCGGCTCCCCGCAGGCACTGGCTCGGAGTCTCCAGGCAGCGCGCACGCAGCGGGAGAGAGAAGGCGGGACCTTGGAAAGCGGGCGGGCGAGGTTTTTTTCAGGGCGATTAAGAAAGGCGTGGGACACTACCCCGGGACATTAGGAAAGGCGTGCAGAACTCTGCAACTGTCGGCTGGAAAAGGTGTGTTACTTTCTACTCCAGACAGTTCTCCAGACCCTGCCTCTGAGAAAGCAGCCCTGCTAGCTGGGCAGGAGACTGGTTCTGCACTCTTGTTGGAGCACAGGTGGGGAGCAGGGAACAAGAGGCTGGGGTGGGGGCGATCAAGGAGCGGCTGAGGCCAGGACAGGGGACTGAGACAGGTGTGTCGGGGGAGGGACGGAGAAGGAGCCCGGGAGGGAGAAAGGAGAGGAGGGGAGAAAGGGGAGAGGGGACACCAGAGACAGGGAGGGGGAAACAGACCAGGAGGGGGAAGGAAACTAGGAAGGGGCAAAAGAGAGCTGGAGGGGGCAGCCAGGGAATGAATGGAGCTGGCCCTTTGTGGGGTGTGGCAGGGACATGGTGGGGCACGTGCAGCCTGCCTCTGCTGCACGTCTCTTGGTGTCCTAGACACAGGATGTGGAAACCCCAGAGTGAAGACTGGCTTTCTGCTGCCTGGTGCCTGAACTGTCTAACTGACTCCCTGGGGACCTGGGACCTGACTCTGGACCATTGAACTCGATGTCCAGAAGGAACTAGACCTCAGTGTTCAACATGTCCCTGCCATAGAGGCCTGAAAAGCACCTCGTTTCCCAGCTGTGCTCCTAGTCTGGAGGAGGACAGGGGTTTGGGACATATATCTACCAAGGGGAGATGTCTTTTTCTAGTACTTAATAAATGCAAATTACTTCTTTTCACTGTGCTCATGTGGAATTTATGTAATTATCAAACTTGTTGGATGATCATGGAAAATATTGAGAGGAAGATAGCCCAGTCTTCCCCAAGGTTCCTATGTGTGCATGTGCCTGGCTTGGATTGAAGATGGTGATGCATACATGCATTTCCCAAGACTACTTGTTTGGTCTTGGCTTCCTCCTGAAGCCTGGATGGTGGTAGTGTCAGAGCCAGGACCTGTCTTTCTAGATGTCTGTGTGTTCTCCAGAAATCTGAGCTCACTGTCAGAGAGTGACTGGTACTTTTTGGGGTTTTATAGGCCTAGGGGACACTTTGGAGTGTTAACTTGGGAACCAGGATGACAAGCATAAAACATGACACTGTCTTGGGCCCTCGGAGATGCTGTCTCGTATGGAGAGGTAGGCAAGTGTGTGTGCTGGAGGGACAATGTCTCAGGGGCCCAGATCCTCTCAGGTCTGTGCTTAGGCTCTCGCAGCTCTTAGGTGGTACTTGCTGTGGCATGCTGCTGTATTTTAAAAATATACTTTCAACCTCTTTGGATCACACAAAAACCTGTTTTACAGTAACTTTGCGGCCTTCAGCGATGAACTCTTCATTTCTCCTGCATTTCCTGGACCTCCACCCGAATGCCACCGAGGGCAACTTTTCAGGAGTAGAGGCTGGGAACACGTCCTCACTCTGTGAGGACATGGGCATCGCTCTGGAGGTGTTCCTGACTCTGGGCCTTGTCAGCCTCTTGGAGAACGTTCTGGTGGTTGGTGCCATTGTGAAGAACAAGAACTTGCACTCCCCCATGTATTTCTTTGTGTGCAGCTTGGCTGTGGCCGACATGCTGGTGAGTGTGTCTAATGCCTGGGAGACGATCACTATCTACCTGATCAACAATGAACACCTAGCAATCCCAGATGCCTCTGTGCGCCACATTGACAATGTGTTTGACTCCATGATCTGCATCTCTGTCGTGGCCTCCATGTGCAGCTTGCTGGCCATTGCGGTGGACAGGTACATCACTATCTTCTATGCCTTGCGTTACCACCACATCATGACTGCGAAGCGTGCTGGGACAATCATTGTGGCTATCTGGAGCTTCTGCACAGGCTGCGGCATTGTTTTCATCCTGTATTATGAGTCCACCTACGTTGTCGTCTGCCTCATTTCCATGTTCTTCACCATGCTGCTTCTCCTGGTATCCCTGTACATACACATGTTCCTTCTGGCGCGGGCCCATGCCAGGCGCATTGCAGCTGCACCCAGATCCAGCTCTGTGTGGCAGAGGGCCAGCATGCGTGGTGCTGTCACCCTCACCATGCTGCTGGGAGTATTCATCGTGTGTTGGGCACCCTTTTTCCTCCATCTCATTCTGATGCTCTCATGTCCCAAGAATATCTACTGCTCCTGCTTCATGTCTCACTTCAACATGTACCTCATCCTCATCATGTGCAACTCCGTGATCGACCCTCTGATTTATGCCTTCCGCAGCCAGGAGATGAGAAAGACCTTCAAGGAGATTGTTTGCTGCCATGGCTTCAGGATAGGCTGTCAGCTCCCTAGCAGGTATTAGATGGACGCAGCCTTCTCCTTGCTGTGGTTTTCATTTCTCCCTTGAAAACCCACATGTTTAGTGTGGGGGTCATTTGCAGCTCAAACCAGTGCTTTAGAGAAACAGCGCTCTTCTGTGGCCATTGCTGTGTCAAGTGTGCTTGTGTTGTCATTCACTTTGGGGATCCGGGGTGAGAGTTCATCTCCATTCTTTTTGCCTGACTGCTTCTTTGCCCTTCCTGTTTCTGGAGTTTCATCCATCCTTCATCTAGAGGCTCAATGCCCCAAATGCAAGTCTGAGCATGGTGAGGAATAGGCTGCTATCAGAAGTACAACTGAATGTCCATGTCAAGTAGGATTGTTTTTTCAGCCCAAAACAAGTCTACATTTTGCTTTAGGAATCAGGCATGTGTTTCAGGAGGACCAGCCTGTCAAATCCTTTCCATCTGAAATTTCTTGTTCAATGGTCATGGGCGTTTCTAGAGCCCTCCTTTCCTGAGCTTATAGTTTTATGGCTTATAATTACAATTGTCTGAGGATGGAATTTCCTTCATTATATTTCTGTCAATCATGGTTTTACACTTACTCAGACATAAACCTTTATGCTACAAAATTTGCCTCATGTGTTGTGGAAATTTCTATGTGTCCTCTTTCTGCCTTATCCAACTTAATTCAGGGCTTCCAAGAGAGAACTGGAGCCATAGTGCCCTTGCCCTGATGCAGGTAGTGTAGGCCTACAACTGAGCTGTGTTTGATCATCTCACCCTGGATTGTCTTGATGTCTGTGTCACAGTGTCCTTTATAGCATCTCAATCTGACCTGAGGGTTTGGGTCCATCTCTGTTTTTCAAGAGCCCACCTTCTCCACCTAAATGAAAGGGAGAACTTTGACTCTGCAGCCTTAAACATCACATTCCAGACTATCTCTGCGGTGACCTCTGAGCAAAATTGCAAGAAGAAATGGGAGAACTTATTTTATCTTTCTAAAGTATCATAAATATTTTCTTTATATTGAAGAAAAGATCCAATAGGACAAAAGCTAAGTGGCGAGGCATGAGCCAGGAGTCAGAGCAGGGCTAGTTTACCAGCTTGTCTATGTTGCCTAGAGCATTTGCATGGTCTCCAGGCCCCAAGGTGCCCCTCACACTCCCTTCTATTAGTAACTTGTGGTGGTGGCTTTCTCCCCATTTAGAGAGTCACATCTAACAGCTCCTGGTGAAGTTCAGGTAAAGCAATGAAACATTAGGGTCATGTGGCAGCAAGATATTGATGTAAAGGGGGGCCCTTGTGCCATGGGAAGAGCCACATACACTGCCTACACAGACCCCAGTCATGGCACACAGACACCATGGCCAGGGATCTGTAAGAAAGTTCCCAGGATCTTTGGAAACAAGCACATTAGCAGGCTGCTGGTACCTGAGTATGAAGGGACAGTTAGCCCCTCAAGCATCTCCTCTCTCTTCAAATGAACTGGACAGTCCTGGGTGTGAGCATGTGCAGGAAATAAGCAATCTCAATGCAATCACATGAAATTGCAGTCTGGTATGTATGGTGGCTCTCAGGATTCCAGCTCTGAAATGCTGCAGTGCATTAGGGTTCTTGCTGCTGATGCCTGTGTGCTGAGTCTTCTCATTGGCAGCCCCAGAAGACAGGTGAGATCAGCAGAGTTCTTGGCCCACAGGTAGATAAGAATGTGGCCTCCCTGGCTTTCCATGGTAAGCCTGCAGTTAGGGTAGTTCTCTACTCTGGAGGAATCAAACTTCATGAGCTGCAAGGTCTGACCTTCCCACAAAATCTTTGAGCAAGTTGCTCCAGTGCCTTTGCATCTCCATGTCACCACATGTCCAAATGTGTCCCTAGTTGAAATAACTCAGAAAATACCTGTCAGTGAGCCAACTCTTGGCATCAAACACAAAGCCCTGCTCCCAGCACATACCTGCCAGATATGAATGTTATATTTCCACTTCTGTAGGAAATGTATTTGGCAGAATACTCTCCATTCAAAGAAAAGGTTAATAAACTAGAAGCCTGCATCAATTAAAATATGTAAATAAAAATTTATATTAAAAATAAAATGGAAGAACTAGACCACCCAATTGGCCACCTATATGTGATATTCAGGGTTTGTGTTTTCTGCCAGTCTGTCAACTGCTGCTATAAAATGACGCCCATCTGCTGGTGAATGTTGATGAAATTTACTTCTGCTTTACCAAGTTACTACCAGCTGAGCACAGATTTATCACCAAGAAAATGAGCCTTTCTCAGTTCACAATGTTATTGCTGCTACAAATGAAACTGCACACTTGAATTTAACATGCTGTCCAAAAGTTTATCTTGGTAAACAGGTGTTTTGAGGCTCCTGTGTGCAAAGTATGGAGGTAGAAGCAGGTGTCACTAGACAATTTCTGTCATCTAAGAACCAGTGGAGCCTATTTCAAGACATGGATGTTTTGAGTTATGCAGAAAAGCTGTCCCCAACTCAAAATCCTGCATGTGATCATCGTAGACCAATGGACTTAGGCTCTGTGCCCTAACATGAGGGCGATGCCATGGACTCTGGCAGGACGCTCTCCTGTGCCTAAGTTCCCCTGGAGGCTCAGTGACAGGAAAACAGCCAGCTGTTTACTTGTGGAGGCCAATGTAGAGGACCATTACCCAGTTCCTACCCCAAGCCAACAAGCAGCAGAGGACCGGACCCATGCAAGCATGCCTTCCTAGGAGAGGAAAGCTGGGCACACACTATGGTGGCGGCAGCCATGCTGGGCTGTGTTTGCATTTCCTGTGCTGCCCCAGGACTTCTTTGTTTTCTCCTGCCTCAGCCTTCTGGAGTGCTGGGATTACAAGCAGTCATTCATGCCTGGCTCCCATCTCTCACTTTGATTGCTGTACACTCAAATCTGTCAGGCTTCAGGGGATTGTGCTTTAACTTTTCCCAAATTAGCTGTATGGCTTCACATCAAAGTGGGCAGGAAATCCTCCCCTGCCACACCCCCAATGTCAGTGAAAAGCTACTGTGGCCAGAAGTGAGAGCCCGAGGCCAGGGCTGTGTGTGCACTCATGTGGCAGGCACCTCCCATGGTACCTGTGTGTGGAGTAAGCATCAGAATTGTGGAGTGAGGGGTGGGTCCCCATAGGGCAATACTGCCCAGAGAGAGGAAATACTAGAACAGTAAGGGGAAGGCAGACTGGTGTGTGCATTCTTGAGAGGTGGGTTGAATCTGAACAGGTGTAGAAGATGGGACATGGACTGGGAGGACACCGAGTTGAGGTGAGTGCTTATTAGGTGTGAGACAGCCAGGTTCAGGTGAGAACAAGAGGGGAAATCACTGAAATTACACAGGTGAGTTGAGGTGAGTGTTTACTATGGGTGAGACAGCCAAGTTCATTCTAAGTTTGTGTGAGAACAAGAAGGGAAATCATTGAAAAGCACTGAAATTACACAGGTGAGACTATCCGGCCCTCGAATACCAAGGGGAACCTGTTTGCCAGGAATAGGGAGTAACTGAAGGTTCTCTCCCCCCTTTTTCCTGTTTAAATACATGACAGGACCTGGCAAAAGCTGTGCTTATATATTGGTTTTATAGAAAATTTGCACCAACATAGGCAAGATGGGCAGGAAGCTGGCAGAGTCCAAGAGGAAGAAGGGCCATGGGCTGGAGAGGACAAGAAGCTCCTTTATGGGGGAGACCTCTTTGTTGGATCCCCTGAATGGCCACAGAGTGCACAGGGAGCCTCCCAGCCTGGCTTGCAAGTTCTTTGCATCGTCTTTCCATATCATACTGGCTCCTACTCCAAGCTCAGGGGGACTTGCTTCAGAATCTCGGGGCCCTACACTGAGTGCAAGCTCTCATTGCTCCTTTCTGATACCTTTAGGTCACAATTTGCTGTGTTTCTCTCCCATCTGTCCACCAACACATCCTTTCTTTCTTTGGCATCGCCATAATTACTTGGAGGGCAAACAAGATTCTTCAGACCCTTTAGTCCTGGTTCTGGAGGAGATGTTCAATTACAAGTCTTCCTTACACTCACCCCTTCCTGTGGGACATGAGCCACGAGCTGGGCACAGCACAATCAGGGTGAGTGGCCCACAGAGACCCTGATTTGTGAGCTACCCTCCACTGATGCTGTGATGTCTCCACTATGTCAGCTCAGGCCAGGCCAAAGCCATATGACCAGAAATGGATGAGTGATGGAAGCAGACCAGGCTCTGTAAAAACCCAAACCTCTAAGCTTGTTCCCTATGGTATTGTCCTTTTCTCCACTAAGCTGCTGGCCTGTTTTTCCTTCCCACATAGACACAAAGCCCGTGACAGCTTGGCCTCTGCCCACTCCACCCTAGTGATGCACCACTCATCACTGCAGATTGTTCTCTGCCTGACCTCTTGCTCCATGTGCCATAGGGAAGTTATTATCTGTGTCTCGTAACTTCCTCAGTGTCCATAGCACTGCACCTTCTGATTTCTTGGCACAAGCATTTTGACCTTTGCTGTCTCTTTCCTCTCTCTACTGTCATACGTAGGCTGACCTTGAAACTGTACCTTTAGGATATTTCCTTTCATATGTATAATTTTCCTCCCACTGATCTCATCAACTTCAATGATTTTGACTCCAAGATTTTAAAAATAATTTTTATTGACGTGGGCGATGATGATGTAGATTTAAATGTTCCCCAAGCCTCCCATGTTCAGAGGTGAGACCTTTGCAAGGTGACTGGCTGATGGAGGAGTGGCACCCACCAGTGGATTAACCCTTGCTGAGGCCTTAGCTGCATGTGCTACTTCAGGTGGCCCCTGACTGCAGGTGCTCACTATGTGCACAGCCTTGAGGGGTGCTCTTGCCCCAGCCTTTCCCCTCTTTGCTTCCTGGCTGCCATGAGGCATACACCTTTCTACTATGAGTCCTTTCAGCTATGCTGCTTCTGTCTGAACCATCTGAAATCGTAAGGCAAAATAAATAACTTCCTCTTTTAAAATTGTGGCTGTCAGATATTTTGTCCCAGCAATGAACAAGTGACTAATGCAAC